TTGTTTCCTCTTTTTGGGATAGCACATAATACTGCTGCCATGTAACAAAAAGCTTTGTGGTGGCACATTAGAGATCACGAAGGCAAAAGTTTCACACAAACATTTTTAAAAGGCAATTTGTCTACCCTTCAGTTTCAATCAAATCCCAACATTGAACATTACTGACCTTTCTGCATGGATTTTGGATGGATTGTGTACACCAAACTTGAAATACCGGACACGTGAACTACAGCCCTGACCTTTTCGAGACATTAGCCAACAGAGGGGTGTGTGAAAATTAAGATCTCGCTCACTTTCTGATCGTACATTGGCCAGCTGTCTTGTACATGTGATATCCAATAGGTGAACAAGTAGACATCATGTGACTGAAATAAAGCAAAGTGGACCGAATGTTACATCTCTGAGAAAAAAATAAGTCATGCTAAACTGTCACTAGCAGGACTTTCATTGAAATTAACTCATTTTTGTGTTAAATTGGTCCCTGCTTGTAACTTACAGAAGATGATGGACATGTTGTATTGTATAAAGACTAACTTTGGACAAAGCATTTGGCTCTTTCGATATATACTTACTTACTATACTATATATACTTCTCTAATATAGAAAAAGAGACGTATACAAACCTGTATCTTTTTGGACAATAAGATTAAAACCATTGAAGTAAACATACATTTAGTTTTGTTTCAGGATAGAACATCTCACCAGTCAGGGGTTTAGTATGAATTTGCTTTTGGAGACTGAGTAAATGAACACTAGAAATCACTTATGCAAACACAAATTGGCTGACTGCACAGAGACACACTCCTACTCCTTCATGCTCTTGTGCAAATGAAGATAAATCTCCTATCTCTAACAGAAGGGCACTTTAGGAGCACTGACCTTCCATTAGTATGTGAATGTGAATGAGTGGTGTCAGGCGGTGCTGATCCGGAGGAGCTGTTGACACAGTCAGCAGTGCGAAGGAGTGCGATGAGTGTGCCAAGCGCACAGCGTTAACCCTCGACACAGAGCCAGCGTGTGGACACAAAGGGCTGGGTTCAGGCGTGAGCTGTTTTTTGAAGATTTAGCTGGAGGAGTAGGGGGTGGAAGAGGAGACCCCAGTGAGAGTCATCTATTTTCTGGTGTGCTGACAGCCGTGCCTCATTGCTTCCATCAGGGGGGCCCCGAGACTCTAGCTTTTGTGGGTCAGTCTCAACATCTACGGCTGTCGTTAAACTGGCTGTAAAACACGTGTATAAAAAATAAGTGTTTTTAATTACAGAGCACCAGTTGTTGTTTGTGCATATAATGGACCAGTATAATAAACTCAATCCATGTGTGCGGCTCCATGTTTGAGCATGAGATGAGGGTATGTACTGTCAAGTTTTATTACACTGTATAAACTGATATATAATCAGTTTTCTTCTACTAGTGGAGCCGGGATTTTGTTTGTAGAAGGTAATCATAGTTAATGATCTTATGTGTCTCATAATGTCAGAACATATCTATTCTTAGACAGTACTTTATTTATATTATATCAAAAGCGTTACCAGAAATCTAGAAAAAGTTTAGGTATATATGCTGATACTGCTTCAGTAAGCCACTTAAGTTTTAGGACTTTTTGGTAGTTGTCAATCCATCCATCTTCTGTTTATCTAGTGCTGGGGGCTGCAACCTAAGTAGATAAGCCAAAACTTCCCTGTCCTTAGCCACCATCTTTAGCTTATCCAGGGGGAACCAAGGTATTCCCACGCCAGCCAAGAGATGTAATCTCTCCAGCGTGTCCTGGGTTTGCCCTGAGGCCTTCGCCTGGTGGGTGATGCCTGAACCACCTCAAATAGCTTCTTTCGATGTGGAGGAGTAACGGCTCTACTCAGAGCCCCTCTGAATAACTGAAATCCTCACCCTGTCTGTAAGAGAGACACCAGCCACCTGTCAGAGAAAGCTCATTTCTGGTGCAGGTATCCACAATCTCTAATTCAACAGCTTCACTTTTACGCTCGTCCACATCACTGCAGCTGTGGCCCCAATCCGTCTGTCAGTCTCCCGCTCGCTCTTAAACAACGACCTGAGATACTTGAACTCCATCACTTGGAGCAGCAATTTGTCCCTGACCCAGAGAGGACGCTACAACCTTTTCCAGCTGAGGACAGAGGCCTCAGACATAGAGATACAGATTCTCATTCATTTCATTTCAGTTTTCAGTTAAATTTTCGACAGCTGGTATTA